CGTGGCTCATGGAAGGTGTGATTGCCCCAAGCATAGGGACCAAGACTGGATATTTTCTGTGTAACCAAACATGGCCGATTTGCTAGGAAAGAGAAGGGGCTGCTGCCTGCCCTCCTGCCAGGACACCATTATCGGAGCCCGTGGCAGCTGAGACCTGGCCCAGTTCAGGCCCTAGTGTGACAGGCCTCTGGCTCTTGGTGAGCAGCAGCTGAAGCCAGGGGGGCCACGGTACCCTGACACGGGAACCCTAGAGGCCCAGCCGCTGGGCTCTTCTCCAAGAGAGTGTTCTCTGGAGCTGCCCACCAGGACCCAGGGATGGGGCTCCAGGCCTTCGGGGTGAGGGTTTGGACCAAAGGTGGGGGTGGACCCCCCAGAGCCTTTTGATGACCACCTTGTGGGGACAGAGGGCTGCAGACTGCCAGGGGTGGGCACTCTGCTTCTTGGTTTGTTCTTTAAAGAATGAGATGACAGGTTAATCGGCCCTCAGGGTGAAAGGCAGGCATGTAGATGACAGCGGTTGGACTTCAGCAGAGCAGGCCACTGGGGATGGAGAGCGTGGGCGCTGCCATCTCCGCAGGCCTGACCTGTGTCGTCTTCCTTTCTTCCCCAGACTCAGGCTATCTGTTCAGTGGGAGTCGCCCACCTTCTCAGGTGTCTCGATCTAGGGAGGTTCCTGTTTCAGGTAAGTAGAATGGAGAGCTTGGAGGAGTGACATTGGGGTCGGTGTATGCGCTGGGGTTCCCAGAGCGTTGCGTAGCGGGGAATGGCAGAGACGCTAAACATGAGCTTTGGAGTCAGATGGGGCCTGTGTTCAAATCACAGCCCTGTGCCTCACAGCCATGCAGCCCTTGGCAAGTGACTGACACCCTTGGGCCTCAGTTTCCTCTTCTGTGAAATGGGCGTGAGTATTTCTAGGGTTAGATATAATGCTGTCATCTTTCAGCGACCACTGGTGGTGATGGCACACTTGGGATCCCACCATCAGCAGAGGGCTTGGGTGAGCTGACCTTAAGTTGCAAGAGTTGGTTTTTATCTGGGCCTTGCTCTCAGCCGACGGAGGTACCAGGGGCTTTGGATAGAAATCAGGAGGCAGGAAAAAGAAAAAGAAAAAAAGAAATCAGGAGGCAGAGAGCACCTGGCTGAGGCCCCATGGTCCTCTCCACTCCCTCAGATGCCTGGCAGGGCGCAGGCCCTCCTCGCTGTGTCCCCCCAATCTCTGCACAGCCCTGCCTTTCTTCCTGGGTTGATAAAGGAACAAAATAGCCATGGCAGCCTTACTGTAACAATAGCAAACGTTCATGCATTATTGTCGTCATCGCTTTTGTCATCCTCCCGCCCTCCAGATTACTTCTCTCTGCTGTCGGGGAGCTGCCCCTCCCCTCTCCCCTCCCCGGCGCCCTCCGTGGCTGGCTCGGTGGCCTCCAGCTCTGGCTCTCTGCACCACCGCAGGCCCCTCATCAGCCCTGCCCGGCTCAACCTGAAGGGGCAAAAGCTGCTGCTGTTCCCGTCGTCCCCCGGGGAAGCCCCCAGCACCCCCAGCAGCTCAGACGAACACTCGCCCCACAACAGCAGCCTCTTCACCATCGAGCCACCCCAGGTCACGCAGAGGCAGCTGGCGCAGGACCTGAAGCACACTGTGGGTACGATCCTCTGACCGCCCTGCTGGCTGCGCCAGGCCTGCCCTTGATCTGTCCTAGTGTGTGCGGCCACTCTCCCCAGCTCCAGTCGCCCCTGGCCTGGCTTCTGGTGACCCTGAACCCTGCAGGACATTCTCCTCTGTCAGCTGATTTTATTTTCTTGTTTTGCAATTGACCTTGAGGAGCCTCTGTTCCTTGGGATGGATCAGAAACACATCATGCCTGCCAGGCTGTGTCTGATAACAGATGTTTTCGTTTTGCTCAAATAATGTTCTGCAATGCATTTTTCAATTTTTTAAATTAGGCCCCAGCCTTTGAAATCTAGAACATTCACATGAATGTGTGGATTTCCTGTGCCTCTTAACGATGTCAGGTGACCTGGCCACACTGGGCCTGAATACTGGCCAGACAGGTGGAAGGGCAGGTTGAGGTCCTGCATCCCTGCCCCAGGGACCTGCCCCCACAGAAGCTTCACTGCGGCCCTTGTCCGCCAGCACCTTTGGCCTTTGAGTTTGCTGTCGAGGGTGGGGCGAGCGGGTTGGGACAGACAGGGCTGGCTGGCCATGTCCAAGGACTGTCCTGGGATTGGAGCTGGAGCAGCCCCACGTCTGTCCCTGGGGGTGAACTGTGAGCACCCACTCAGACACTCCTTCTCTCTGCAGACATGAGGTCAATGCCGGAAAGAGGCAGCGCTTGCAGCAGCCGCTTCATCAAGAAAGAGGACGACTCGTCCCAGTCGTCCACCTGTGTGGTGGACACCACGACCAGAGGCTGCTCAGACGAGCCCGCCGCCTGGAGAGGTCTGTGCCCCGATGTGCAGGAGGGCAGGGCAGCATGGGGGCCTTGGGTCTGCAGTCACCATCACCTCCTGGTCTGTCTGGGATCCTGACAGAGAAAGACCCCTCCAGGGGGCCCTCAAGTGATGGGGGGTGGTTAGATGGCCCCGCCAGTGCCTTCTGGCTCCAGTCTGACTCAGCAGCCAGCATTCCCCTCCTCTGATCGGGACCTAGACCTGCGCTGTCTATTACAGCAGTCTGGTCACAGGCGGCCATCTAAATTTTAACAGAATTAAAATTTAGTGCCAATAAAAATTCAGTTCCTCAGCTGCACCAGCCACATTTCAAGTGATCCGCTGCCATGCGTGGCCCATGGCTGCTTTATTAGGCATCACAGATACAGGACACTTCCACCTTCGTAGAAAGTTCCCCAGGAGGGCGCTGGGCGGCCAGAGTGCGGGCTGCAGGCCTGCACACAGCGCTGAGGCGCCTGGGCCCCGTCCTGGCGCCACTCGCGGGCTGAGGGCGGGGCATGAGATGAAATCCTGGTCTGTGTCCAGTGCCGGGCACCTAGTGAGCACTCAGCTGTCAGCCCTGGCTCTGCCCTGGGAGTGTGGGGACATGTGTGTGGAACATGGACAGACCTGCACTCGGAGTTTTCCTGGAAAGATAGTTTTGAGCTGACTGGCAATGGGTGCTGCCCCCAGATCAGGTGGGGTCTGGGGGTGTGACCCAGCAGCGTAAAGGCCATGGCCAGAGCACCACCGACTTGGGGTGGGGGACCTCAGTCAGCCACTTACCTCTGATACCTGTGCAGGTTTCTCATCCCCCTAAAGCCCCATTTCCTGCCTGTAAAGCCATGTCGCATCCTCAACCCCATCACCAAGGTGCAAGCCCATGACTCCCTAGCCCAGTGCCTGCCTGGTGCCACGGGCTCAAGAAAGGCACCTTCAGGGAGGCAGACTTAACCAGGTGGCCCCAGGTTGGAGGCTCGGGGCCCCATGACTGTGTCTGGTGGGCAGGGGGCATTCAGCTGCCCAGAGACCCCACCCACGGGTCCACCTTCAGACCTCTGCACCTTTGACTGGGTCTCTTGCTCTCTCTCTAAGGTCGTTTTGGCCCCTTCCTGGTCTGGGGCCTCCTGGCTGTGAGCTTGACCGCCAACGCCCTCTTCACCTCTGCCTACCTGTACCAGAGTCTGCGCTGACCCACGGTCCTCAGCCTCCCAGCACCCAGAGAGTCCGTAGGGTGCGCCCAGGTGCATGCGTCTGCCACCACTGCCGGCCTCAGAGTCCTCCCTAAGGGGCTGCTGCCTCCACCCTCTTCTCCAGGGCCCTTGACCCGCCAGGTTGAGTCCCATCCTCAGGACACCGTCTCCTCACCTAGCAGACTGCAGGGCTGAGCGTCGTCTCAGATCACACTCCTCTCCACCCGTCTCCTCGGCTGACATCACTTGTGTTTGGTGCTGCCTCGACGCCAGGGATCTCCAAGGGGCTGCACAGCCCTGGGGCCCCTCCCCACGGTCCAGCCCTGCCTGGCAGGAACACCACTACTGTAACCGCAGCCAGAGCCGGCTGCCTCCTGACCCCAAGCCGGGAGTTGTGATCACATCTTAGTACTGTAGTCCCCTGTCCCACCAGGCCATCTCAGGGTCCCTGGGGAGGCAGGAGGGACAGTCCCTGTGTCACCCATCGTCGACCCCGCCCGGTGGGAAACAGTCCCCTTTTGGGCAGGCCCTTGAGGATGGGCATCCTCTGCCCCGTCTTACCCCTTCCTGTTGGCTTCACGCCAGGCCCACCCTCTGGCTCTCCCAGGTGGACAGGTGGGGGCCTGGCGCTCCCAGCCCAGGGCTCAGAATTCCTGGGTCTCATGGGCCCAGCCGGGCCTTCAGGACTAGTGTAAGCACCAGTGCGCCCCTCTTGTTACCACTGGTGACCTTAGGCAGCACACACGACCCAGGGCCCGCCCGGCCCCGTTTCTAGGCCCTGCGTCACATGCTGCCCACCAGGACCTTGCTGGACCTCGGCCTGCGTTGTGCTGCGGGGCTGCCGGGCAGCCTGCAGGTCATAGATGAGACTGGGCCCCGCCCTCCTTGTGAACCTGGCTCCGTTCAGCCACTGAGACCCCACGTACCTCCCTTTCATTCTGCTGTCACCGCAGGCTTAGTGTGACCTCTTGTCTTCAGGTCACCGTGACTGGCTTTCCTGTGCCACTCCCCCTGGTCCCTGCCACTGCCCTTCGGACCGCTCTCCAACGGCTACTGCAGGGTTGCCCTCCCCACCCCTGCCCTGGTGCCGGGGTCCCGTCCTGCCCCACGAGGAGGAAGGAGGAACCTCAGCCTGGCACAGGGACCTCCCCAGTGCCGTGAGGAATGACTGTGTGTGCCTGTAGGTGTCAGCACCCCCAATCCCCACTGCCCTGGGCCGTGGGCACAGGTGCGGGGCAGTGCGTGCGTGTGTGCGCGTGCGTGCGTGTGTGTGTGTGTGTACGTGCTTGTGCCACTTGGGGAGGAACTGGCTGCCTCTGTGAATTCTGAGACTGGGGGCGGGGGGAGGGTCATGAGGGCAGGAGGAAGGGTCTTCACTATCATTCAGGGATAAAGTTTAATTTTATTTTTCTACACATTTTCGCCAGGTAAGGCATTTTGCTGATAAGCAGGATGCCCCCAATTCTCCCTGCCAGGGAGGTTTAGTTTTTTTAAGCTTTGGGTGCTTTTTTAGTAATTTTTTTTACCATGTGGGGAAGGAGATTGCTCTGACTTCCCCCTCTCTCCTTTCCCCCCACTCTTGTCCTGAGAGCTACTGTTTCCTGTCCCGTCCCGTCCCCCCAGAACATTAACCTGGCCCCACACTGAGCCAGGAGTCTGGGAATTGGGGGCCAGGGACCGCACCAGGACCCTGAGCCCAACTGCCAGAGGTGGTTCCAACTCGGAGATGGTGTCTCTTGGCCCCCATTTATATTGTGGGCATGTCCGTTGACTTTATTTTATTTTTTGTCTAACAGCCAAACTCCATTCCCAAATACAGTTCTCTCTGAGGAAGCCCCAACACAGCCCACCCCTCTCTCCCTCTCAAGGCTTGGGCCAGGCTGGGCGGGGAGGGGTTTGCCTGTTTTCTTTCAAACAAAAAACACAACCTTATTTTTCTTTACAAAAGCAAAAAAAAAGGAAACCAAAAAAAGATACCAACCTTTGAACTATACCTCAGTCTGTCTTGTCTTCATTCTGTCTGCTGGCAGCTCAGGCCGGTGTGGACACCAGTTGGGCGGGGAGGGGGGTGGGAAGAGCCCCTACTGGGGTGGAAGTAACTTCACTCGTCAGTACAGAGCTCAGGGTGGGGTCCTGGGGCTCATGTGCAGCGTGGCGGGTGCACTGGGACTGTCCCTGGAAGGGCTAAGGGATTTCAACAAATGAGCCCCTGGGTCAGGTCTGGGCAGGAGGGGTGAGCAGAGGAGGTTTCCTGGAAGAGCGGCATGAGGGCTCACTCAGGCAGGAAGTGCTCAGCTGTCTCTTCAGAAAAGCACGTCCGGACCAGACCAGCGGCCCCTGACCTGGCCCAAGGGCTGCCAGGGCAAAGGTCACCATGTTCACAGACCTTGTTTTTTCCTCGACCCACTCGGAGTGGCCTGGTGATCCTCCCAGCAGCTGGGCCCAGCACCAGGCCACAGCTGGATGCCACCCATCCGGGTGGACCCCCATCCCAGTCTGGGCCTAGCAGCTGGCCCAGCGTGGGCAGGTGCAGGGTGGCCACTGACAAAGCCTTTGGAGGTGCTGCACTGGCCCCACTGAGCCAAGAGTCGGTGTGGGGGACCAAGGGGCCAGCCTCCTAAGTGTCAAGCATGGTTCTGCGCTCAGGCTGTGCGGTGAGTGCAGGGTCTGCATTCTGTAGGCTTCAGTGTAACAAGTAACAGGACCACCATCCAGGGCCGAGCGGGGGTGATGAAGCCAGAACACTGCAGAAGGAGCCCCAGTACATGTGAGCGACTCATCCTGGCCCAGCACTCATGGGGGGGGTGGGGGGGGGGGCTCCCTGAGGCCGGAAGAGCAGGCCAGTCTAAACCGACCCTGAGGGCAGACAGGAGGGGCCGTCACTCTTCACGCAGAAGCTGGCCCTCGGAAGCAGGGCCATGCTGCCTGCAGGTGGAGCCACAAACACGCCTCTGGTTTCACTGATCTGGGGCCACAACCTCTGGGGGCCAAAGGGAGCCCACTTTTTGGGAGCCCACTCTTCCAGTGACCCTGTAAGGTACGTGCCAAGGAAGAACCTGTGTCTCCTCTTGTGCAGGGCCCAGCCCCACCCCAGCTCTGCACTGTGAAGATGGAACCAAACGGTGGGTGGGTGGGTGGGTGGGGATTCTGGCAAACACCTAATACCCACGTGTTTCCGGAAGGGATTTTTTCCTTCCTTCGGTTTATCTGTATTATCTTACTAATGTTATGTTTTTGTTTTTTATAAAAGGGCAATGTGTTTATTGCAAGAAATCTAGAAATACAAGTGATTAAAAAAGAAAATGCCCCATAACCCCTCAATTAAAATATTGGTGTCTTCTCTTTTTTTTCTACATATCTACATTTTTTTTTTTTTACAAAAATAGGATTTTCTGTACACAATGGCTTGTCACTTGATCATTTCCACGTCCTTCAGTGGCTTTCTCGTCCCTCTTCCTTCTCTTGCTGCTGAGCTTCTAGAAGACCTGTCAGTTCTCCCTGCTGTCATAATTGGAACAGTAGGAACATCTTTGTAGGTACCTGTGTCTCCTGTACCTTAAGACTCTCCATAGGATAATTCTTGAGAATTGAAACGTTCTATCAGGATACTAAGGTTTGTTTGATGCATTGCCTGGTTGCATTCTATGAAGGTAGAGAAATGATCTAGTTTTCTTCAAAAATTCTGAGCTGACTTGCTTGGGAAACATGCCCTGGTTACCAGACAGCCCACATGGTGGGTGGGAAGATGAGAAGATCCAAATTCTAGTCATAGCAGTAAAGAGATGGGTCTCCCCTGGGCCCCAGGAAGGAGCTTGGGGGAGGGCGAAGAGAGGTGGGCAGGGTACACAGGACCACCCCACTTCTAGCAGAGAGGCTTGATTTTCATACGCTGGCCTCTGCGTTTTATATCAGAAAAAGGTCTACTGATTTAAAAAGAGAAGGGTTTGAAGACCACTGCTAGGATACCACCACCTTAACCAATTAGTCGTGTGACGCCTGGGCCCCTCCCTACAAGAGAGGAAGGACCCAGATGACGTCCCAGTCTTCTGAGGGGTGATGAGAGGCAGAGGCCTCCCTTTAGAAGATGTCTGAGGGGTCTGAAATGGCTGCACCACTGCAAAATGTTTTTTGTGGTAGCAACTCTGAAGACATTTGCTACCAGGGGTGGAAGTGGGGAAAGCTGTTGTCAGTCCCTGGGGGCTGGGATGCAGCCAGCTCAGGTTCAGGGTCTATATGGGGTTGTTTGTGTGCAAACAACTTTCACTGGCTTTGAATGTATGTGTCCAGCCCCTGTTCACCAGGTGAGAGTCAGCTGGGTCGGTGAAGAAAGGCAGAGACCCAGGGACCCAGGGCTTCGGCAGCACGTTCTCCCTTCATCCACTGCCAGACAGATGTGTGCCGGTAGCATGTGCCAGGCTGTGCTCAGCACAGGGGCTGCAAAAGGTAGATGCCACTGCTCCACGGGGCAGGGGACAGGCTTAGGCGAGCACACACCTAAAAAGGCTGGGAAGCAGTGCCTCCAGTGTGCGTAGTCTGGAGATGGGAGATGAAACTTGAAGGCAAGATGACGCCAAGCAGGAGTAAGTGCATATGCAAAGGCCCAGGGGCCAGCTTTCCTGGCATTGAAAGGTTAGTGTGGTAAGAACCCAGGGTAGAAGGGTAGGAGTGGGTCACGAGCAGCCCAGGAGGAGAGCAGGGCCCACCCGTGAAGGTGCACTAGGGGTTTTAGGTTTCACCCTAAGAACAAAGGGAAAGTTAATGTCCAGTTTAAGCAAGGGAGCGTCAGGACTTGGTGACGGAGGTGGGCACAGTGGGGTGTCCGGGTTGACCTCTGGGTTTTTCGTGTGCACAGTTGGCTGGATGGAGGGGCTGCTCCCTGATCTAGAGGAACTAGGAGGAGGGCAGGGACAGAACATGGGTTTGAATTCAGCTTTGAGCGTGTGCATTGGGTGCTTTGGAAACAGCCGGTGGGACTGACACCTCCACCTGCTGTGCCACTGCCTGGAGCCCTCCTCCCCTAACTGCACCTTAGAGACGCCTCCTGAGTGGGTCCCGTTATGCTCTCAATATCCTACAGTTACCTCCATTCAATTACAAACCGTGGCTGTCCCCTCGGATTACTTGGTCAGCTGCCCTCCCCTTTAGAATGTAACTTCCATCAGACCTTGGCTCCTAGTTGAGACTCATTATATATTGTTGAATGAATGAATGAAATGTCCATTGGACAGGATTAAAGGAACAGTCACAAATGAGGAATTACTGCTGTCATAGAGAGCATCATGTAAGACCATCATGTAAGCAGAGGCCAGGGGCATCCAAAGCCCCCTCCCACCCTGAAAATCCACAACTCTGGAGTGGGTGGGCGGCCCCAGGACGGGGTGGAGGCGGAGGCCACAGAAGGTCGTAGAAGGCTGATGCCCAGAGAAGGGTCCTGTGGGTTTGTGGCACTTTAGCTTGCAAATGCCTGAGTGACACAAGCTTGGACCCTCCTGTGAGCTGAACCTGGATGCTGGGAGTCACTGGAGAACGGTTCTGATACGTGCAGTTTTGTCTTTCGGGTCCATTTGGGGAAAGGTACTGTCACCCACACTCGGGTGAAAAGGTGAGCCGTCTGCACGGGTTTAAGACTGGACTGGAGATCAGGAGTCTCGAAGGGGGAGAGAAGGGGAAGGGCATTTGCTAATGTCCTGCCTGGCCTGGCCCCACCGACCTGTGCCTGCGGTGACCCTAACAAAGGCAAGGAGGTAAGGTTTTATCTGTGGGGCCAAGGGAGGAGTGAGAGAGGATAGCTGCTGCCCACTGCTGCGCTCATCTCCTCCGCTGCAGGGAGGCAGCCTCGGGCCTCGGGGGGTGCATGCAGGCCATGGACGGAGGCAGTAGGCAGAGCTGCTTGCTTTGGACCTGGACAGACGGGGACGAAGCTGTAGCTGACCCTTTAGATATTTGTCCTGCCCCTGAAACCAAAGAAGGACCCTTACTAATACTAAGGAGCTGCTCTTGGACGGCTGGTTTCCCCGGGGCCAGCCCTGGAGTCTTGGGGAAACCCTCCACAAACTAACGTGGCTGCTGAGTGTGGGCACTGCCCTCGCTGCCCCCCAAAAGCATATGCAATGTCAAATAGAGAGCCCGTGGGCAGAAACGGTTCTGCCTCCACTATATGCTGTTTTCAGAAAGCAGCTTTGGGTGTGACGTCCATCATCCACCGTGCTCAGGGCATGCAGTGGCCCAAACTGTTCAGGGCTGAGGGTGCGGGTGAAAATGTATTGGGGTCCTTTCATTGTACCCCTCAATTCTGAAGGTGGAAAGAGATTTCTGGTGGGCTTTTGTTTATAATAACTAATCGTTGTTCAATTTTTGGAGAACCAAGAAAGATCTGAGTGCAAGATCTCTGTATAGCAGCATTTTCTGAGTTTGGTATTTTCCTCTACATAACTGAACTAAATATTTGCTCCTTAGCTTGAATCACGTGTGGAAATTAATAAATACATAACTATGTAGGGGCTCCCTCACTGCTTGCAGCATCTCAGCCAGAATCAGGCAGCATGCATGACTGGGGGCGGGGGCACTCGGTGTCTTTAACAGCTGTAATGTCTCTAAACGAGTTTAACTCTTCTTTCTAATACTAGTGGATATTTCCAAATGAATCCATCTAAATTATGCACATTAGCAGAACTCCAGGATGCCCAGCCCTGGCTCGCAAGCCTCGTTTCCAGAACATTTCCTGGGAACTCCTTGCCTTCCCAGTGAGGAAATACAGGACGTCCCCTTCTCCACTTGCTGTAGACATAATGCAGGCAGCGTCACAGGGTTAAGGTGAAGTGCATGGTTTTCTGAAGCTGATTTTTTTTTTTTTTAGAGAAGGAGGCTAAACTGATGGTACAAAGAAAGGGAAAGGTCGACAGTCCCTTGCCAGACAGCAATTTTTCGATCTGATACGGGAGAGCTCCCTCACTATAAAAGTTTTAACCTCCCTCCTGTCAATGAAAAACACCC